TACACATTATGCTTGGCACTTTTGCTAATATATATATATATATATATATATATATATATATATATATATATATATATATATATATATATATAAGTGAGAACATATAAGATTGTTCAAAGAGATAACAGAATTTTTTTGATTTTATTATTTTGTCTTTTTCTCTCATGACATGTGCACTTTGCATTAAAGATACTCTTAACTTTTTTAGTCTAATATATTTCTAAGTCATAAATTATTAGGGAAATATACAATTAATATAGGGGAAGTTATACCATGTTTGTAATATATGAGAGGACACAGTGCATTTGCCTACTTTGAAGAATAAGAGTGCGCTATTACCCGCTATACATGAGTGTTTTAAACACTTACTCCTACGTATAATTTAAATAGTCCTAGTACAGGAGTGCATTGCAGTGCACGTTACATAAAAAAGCAATGTAAATCAGGGTATGTTTCATGCAACTACCTACGTATATAAAAACTAATTGGTGTGATTGATGCATATGTATAAAGGTACTAGTTTTATATTCGCGCGATGTACGATTGAGAAATTGCCCAATGTACTATTAATGAAATTCACTTTTACATGACTCACCATAAAATTTGCTATACGAAATAAAGAAAACATCCATTGAAATATTTGAAATAAGCTTAAAAACATAAGCTTGCTGCTTTCGCGAAGCTACTTATCATCAAGATACTTGACAATCTTTTAAATTTTGCTTAATTTTTTTTAAATGAAAAGCAAAAATTCAGTTTAATGGATTGTTTCATTGTTTCTTTAGAATTTCAGGGGAAAGAAGAAGGTCAATTAACATGTATTCTTACAATTAAATTTATTTTTACATCTAATACGAAATTCTTTAAAGTGATAATTCCATAAGTACATGTACAGTTATTGTCCAAATTTAATCAAAAGAAATTCAGCAATTAAGAATTTAGTATCCACCCCTCCAATATCTTCAAACCAAATTTAGAGAAATGAAACCACCAAATTTAATGGGAATAACTGAGAAGCCAACACAATGCTGCATTTTAACAAATAAAAATTGTTCCATAAGGTTAAATAAAGTTGGCAATGTTTTTGTAATAAACTAAGAGCAGGCAGGAATGCCTCGCTGCTTTATGCCTGTACACCATTCACACATTTGTATTATGGGATATACATAGTACTACCTCCGTCCCTAATAAAACTTCCAATTACGGGTTACGAAGTTTGACCAACGATAAAGTTAAATGATCCATGTGAAAACTCGGATTATTTTTAGTAAATAAAATTTATATATTCAGAAACTACATTAAACCCGCTACAAAGCCTGCAAAAAATAATTCAATCTTTATAAATTTTTGATATATAAAGTAAGAGTTTAAGGGGCGTTTTCTCAAAACACGGGAAAAGCCAACATGCAAGGCAAAACACGGGAAAAAATATGGGATTTCTGAGAATGCGGAATTCGGAAACACATCTTCCGAATAGATTAGGGTTTAAGCGCAACTCACCACATTCGGAAACCCATGTTCCAAAACAATTTTTTTTTTCTTTTTAATCTATTCGGAAGTTGGAGTTCAGATCAACAAATTTCAGTCTAAAAGCAAAACATCATAACTTTGATTTTGTTTTCTATTGCAAAGTGACTTCTTCCCGTAATAGAAGAACTTGATAGTCTAAAAGAGAGTTTTGTTTTCCTTTCATGATACTCAATCATTAATAGGATTCGTGGCCGATGGCCAATATTTCGGAAGGAGGGGTGTTTCTTAGAGCATTTCCAATTAAAAATAACTAAATATAGTATATCTATCCTTATTTCAACGGTCTTATTGTTGAGAAAAACTTAGCAAAAACATATGAGATGTGGAAAAAATGAGAGAAAAATGTCACAACTTTATTCTTTTATGTCTATTTCTCTCATGTCACATGTGCACCGTGCACATTATAATATTCCAATTTTACGGATGTTGCCATCTCAAAAACAATGATTGTGTTTGGGTTGGACTTTTCATACGTGTCTATAGATGAAAAACAACATTTCATAAATTTTCTCCCTACTTATATTAGGATCTATTTATTTGGATATTTCAATCCTAGACCGTACCAAATAAGAGTACACCAATTTAAATGGATTGAATATGACTAGACTCAAAACATTTTGATCATACCACTTACTCTGTAGTCAAACAACAGCAACAACAGTAATATACTACACTCACGGTGCCAAAACGGGAATATGTAGGGTTGGGGGAATACCGAAACTTCGATATACTGCATTTATGATATTCAAAATACGAATTTACCGAATATTTAGGACTATAATGTTTAGACTAAAGGGTCAAATAGGCCCCTGAACTGACTTAAAGTGTTCAATTAGCCCCTTATATAAGAGTAGGGGTGGTTCGGTACGGTATACCGAATATTTTATCGCATACCTTTACCATACCGTAATCTTTCGGTATGCAAAAATACATACCGTTACCATACCGAAATTTTGATATACCTTGTTTCGGTATACCGAAATTTTGGTATGATAAGGTACGGTATCGGTAAATTATCATGATTTAATATAACAAATTATTATATGTCAAATGAAATAAAGAAAATCAATGTTAATAGTGATATACTAAAATCATTAATGAAAAAAAACTAAAATCATTAATGAAATTAATTACAAAATACCAATGAGATAACCTATTTGTGTTCTATTCAACTTTGAACAAAAAATATTATAAATATGTATAGATGTATAGATATTTCAACACATGATATATGAAGATAACAACACATTCTGCTAAAATAATTTAAACAACATAAATATATTTAAAATAACATCGATCTCCAATAAAAAGTATAAATAATTCAAGAAACATGGATATAAAGTGATTTATCCTTGAATTAGTGTTGTGTTTCTAGTTATTTTTATAAGTTTAAGAAAAATATTGGCTTGAAATTACGGTATGACGGTATACCGGTATACCGTTTATTTCCAAAATATATACCGAATTATTTCCAAAGTAATTCGGTACGGTATCATACCGTACCAAAAGTGTAGGTATACCTAACATTTCGGTAATTTCAGTATTTTTCGATATGGTAAGTCCGGTATACCGAAGTTTCGGTATTTTTTCCCACCCCTATATAGGAGGTTCTGCTCGGTCGTCACCAATTGGGAGGTTCCCGGTGGAATTTTTTGATGAAATTTTTTGAGCATCTTCTTCATTAAGTCTAGTTTACTCATACCAAATTTCAGATAAAAATTCAACCGGGAAGGTAGTCAAATGATTTTTCGAAGATAACTGCGAAGTTAAACAGCACAGTACATTTCGGAAAATCATTTGACTGCCTTCCCGATTGAATTTTTGGCTGAAATGTGGTATGGATAAACTAGACTTAATGAAGAATATGCTCAAAAAATTTCATCAAAATATTCCACCGGGAACCGCCCCAATTAGCGATGGCCGGGCAGAACCTCCTATATAAGGGGCTAATTGAACACTTTAAGTCAGTTCAATGACTTATTTGACCCTTTAGCCTAATGTTTATTTTTCCTAAATAGGAGTAAAGTATACTCTATCTTCCTATTCTACCCTTACCATAACTTAATAAGAAATATATTTTATATTTGTAATAAAAACATTAAAAATTATAACAAAATCATAAAAAAGAAGTTTCATCATTTCTAATGTAATCAAAGTATTCTATTTTTTGGTTTGGGAGTATGATGGAATAAAGCAAAATGAACTTATAGGAGGCCTCTAACATTTCAAGCACCTAAGAGCTCTCAGGAAAACTTGAGCATAAGGGCAACCACATGTGTGAACATTCTAACCAGTAATTGAAACTAGCTTAATATGGGTGTTTTATTATGTTTGAAGCATAACTTTGGAGAAGTCATGGTTGATGGGAAAGAAGTTGACATAGTTGGTGATTCTTTTGAGAACTTTTATGAAGAAGGGACGTTTTCAGAATTTCGGTAAGCACACAAGAGAATGACTGTCGTAACTAATCCTAAAGCCAATTCATAATTAAATAGCATGCAGGCTAATTTTGTAAGCAGAGTAAAAACTGCATTTTTTTAATCATTCTTCATTATTTTACCTCATTTGATCACATCTGAGTGTTGTATGCCTGCATACATGGAGATTATAGGTTGCCACAAAAACAACTGCCCTTTAATTTTTGCCATCCTTTTTTATTCATTCTTATGTTTTTTTTTTTGAGAATATCATTCTTATGTTTTTTGCAGCATACATGGCACCGGTCAAGACAAAACATGAGATGTCGACCTCTAACGCTCCAAAACGTGCAGTTCCCAATATGTTGAGCTTAAAAATATTGTGATGTCTCTCCGGGTTAGATGTAAGGGGATAAAAGACTATGAGGTTTCTTTTTTATGTATACAAATTGTGATTAAATATTTGCAATCTTGTTGATGTAATATTTTGGTTTCATCTCATTCATTATAATTTGTGAACTCGAACATTGTTATTTATATGTGTGTATGATCTTTAGTGATATGGTATGAGCGTTGGCTTCATTATTTCGTGAAATACTAGACAATGTTTGGTCATTATTTAATGGTATTGACTAATGACTATTACGAACTTCTAGGGAGTGAATCTCTTCAAGGAGTGCACTATTTGTTTCAGAGAAATATGTCGAATCCAAGCTTAAGTATGTCTTTAACTCACCTCGAGTCACTCCCAACATGTAATCGTTTACATGTCCCCATATGGATTGAAATTTATTACTCCCTCTGTCCCATTTTACATATCTTACTTTCCTTTTTGGGTTGTCCCAAAATAAGTGTCACCTTTCCGTTTTTGGAAAGAAATACGTGGTTCACAACATTTCACTTTACTATACTCAAATCTCAACCACAACTTTTACCCTTTCAACAACTCTATTAAAAATTATGTCAAAACCAAAGGAGACACATAAAATGATACGGAGGTAGTATATGTGATGATGACAGTAAATAGACCAAGAAGACCTTAAATGTTGTTTGTAGAGAAGTATACAATAATTCATAACTTTTTTAATCTTCATTTACTTTTGAAAAATGTAGTTGAAATAAAAGAAATTACTCATGAGCTTAACTAACTAAATTGAAGGAATTGAAAGAGGTGGAACAATGGGAATATACCGTACTCCAACAACATTATGGAGTATATAAATTTATTAACACTCAACAATTATGTTTTGATCCGAGTAAGAATCACCGTCGTCCAAGGCGTCGCAACCACTATCACCACCGGACTGGGATTTCTTTTTGGGAGTAATCTCGTTCAACATTGAAACCACGTCCCTCATGGATGGCCGGTCAGCCGGATTCCGGCAAGTGCACACCAATGCAATCTTAAACAATAACATCATCTCCTCCCATACTAATGGCGAAGAGGTAGAAATATTGTTGTCTTTATCTAAGAAGTCTTTTATGTCCTCTTTTGCCTTTAACTTATTTCTCACCCAATCCACAATGCTATTGCCTTCACCAAATTCAGCTTCCATTGATCTTCTACCCGTTAGTATTTCCAATAACATAACTCCGTAACTATAGATGTCACTTTTCACGTCAACTTGTAACGAATATGCATACTCTGTGAGGAAAAAGTATACATTTTTTGTCAATATATGATAGATGAACCAAACAAATCCATCCAACTCGCATTTCAAATAATCAAAGGTTATGTTATTTGGAAATAAGGTGGAAAGAGTTCAACCAATAAGATGAAAGAGGAGCAAACTTTCAATTCATGTAACATTACTTCATTTCACTTCACTTTTGTCCTAGCTCATCATAAAATAACTAAATCAATTAAGATAATTAGAGGAGATTGTAATGACACAGGAAGACAAAATTAAACCCTCTCTCCAGTGTGTGTGTGTGCCATATGGGAGTATCAATAAAGAAATATTAGGTGTTGATTCACATTCAAATTAATCTCAAAACTTTGATGTTGTTAATTAGATTAGAATTTTCTGGCATCTTATGTATTTTTGGTAAGCTTTTATCAACAATATCAATCATAATGTCCACAATCTAAATATTGTATTTTTCATTGTGAAGAAAAGTATACTAAAATCATACTCCCTTCCTCCTGCTAAGATTGTCCTATTTTTCTTTTTGGTCCGTCTCGCTAAAATCATTCCCACTTTATTCTTATTTTATCAATTAAATATCAAACAATAAATTTACTTTTCTTAATAATCACACCTCATTCTCATGTCTCAATGTTAGTAAGACAAATGTAGTATAAGATTGTTCAAATAATGAGATAAATATTCTACTTATTTATATTTATGTTTCTATCTCTCTCATGTGATAGTTCTGATGTATCGTTCATGTTATTTGTTATTGTATTGGAGATGTTTTAAATCTTTGCTTCAAACACAATTGGGTATCATTCTTTTCTTAATCCAGGTGAAAAGCTGAATTATAAATTAAGGGAAGTTTATTTATTACCGAGAATCAATCCGCCCTCCCATCCTTTCATTTCTAGCTACCTATAAAGCTACTACGTATTTTTAGTTGTCTTTTAATAAAGGATTAAAGGGCGTTTTGGTAAGATAGCCTATAAATATTTCCTTGCTAAATGTAGCGAAGCATATATAAGACATGTATAAGGCATCTATCATTTTGATTATTTACTATAAATTCTAAACACTTTTTTAAACACCCCATTTTACAATGTAAAACATTTTATTTATAGAGAGTACTGATAAATAAGTGCAACTAATTTAAGAGTAATTTAAAAATAAATTACACATTTAAACACCTAACCAATTATTGTCTTTGTATTTACATATAAAGTGATTTACTCCCTAAATTTTAATGTAATTATTTTAACGGTAAAGCTACCCCATATTCAAATCACCAGACGATCCATAACAACCGGGTTGTCTATAAGTTATCAATTATTGTACGTTTTTCTTACACAAGACTTAATAATTACAAATCCTACAAAGTCAACCAAAAAGAGAAGTTAGGTGCTATTACAAGAGACACTTTAAATTTAGAGTGCCTTTAAATTCAGAGTAATATTTTGTTACTTTCTTTCAACGTTCTTTATTTTCTTTTTTACATTTCGAAAAAGAGCAGCAATGATTCACTGGCCGGACTCTCGTAAAAATACATCTGTTTGAATCTACACGCCACAGTTGACTTTGTTGTATTGACTTTATTCTATCTTCGAGAGTTCAACCAAAAGGATAGAAAGTGTCAAAATGGTAAATTTGATGAAATTAAACCATGACAATTTCGATAGACAACAATAATGTGCAAACAATCAACCTTTTATCAGCTATATTATTCTTAGGGAAAATGGAAACTAATAATCCAACCTTTTAGCGGTCTTCTTTCAATAATCCCACCTTTTGATTATTCATGAATAATCCAACCTTTGCACCTCATCTTCATTCATTGGTCCCTGGTCGGTTAATGACCTACTATTCCAAGTTATTTTCTTATCTTTCCAAAATATTATCTTTGTGAAAGATGAGATTTATGGTATAATGATTTGCAAAGATAAGAAAATAGCTTGGAATAACAGGTCATCAACCGGTCAGGGACCAGTGAATGAAGATGAGGTGCAAAGGTTGGATTATTCATGAATAATCAAAAGGTGGGATTATTGAAAGAAGACCGCTAAAAGGTTGGATTATTAGTTTCCATTTTCCCATATTCTTATTGGATGTCTGGATCTCTCGTTAAAACTGATTCTTCTCTTCCAAAGCAGATTGGAATGTGGATGAAAATATGTTTCAAATTGCTCCCGAAAGCAGTTTTTTAGAAAATGCGGTAGACCATCTTCGGAATAAACTAATTTTATATCTATTTCTGCTACGAAAGGCAATTGTGACCGATTTGATGGATACCCGCTTTGTTACCCGCTTTGAGTAATGGGTATGGGCGGGGAATACCCGTTTTGTTTTTACGGGTAAGGGGCAGTTACGGTTTTATACATGTCTGCGCAGCCCCATTACCCGGCCCGTACTCGCCCCATTTATTTTTAGTTATATTTTTATCTCATTTTTATCTATTATTTGTCCCACAACTACTAAAAGATGATATTTTTCTATTTTCATTGTGTATATATATATGGATAATAGATGTATTAGCTATATGTATGAATGAAAAATCATAATAGATTTTTATAATCTTGTTTGGTTATTATTATTATTATTCATGATAATTATATCTAAGATTAAATATTTTTAGATTCAAATGAATTTAGGTTGCTTTCTTTCTCTTCTTGTAGATATAACTAATTAAATTTCAAAGTGGCGTATGAGTTTAGAGTCGTCTAAGCGATGTCATTTTTCGCCATTTAAAATACAATTTTTATATTAAAATATCAATGACTCATTTAATAAAATGGTTACCCGCGATTACCCACAGGTATACCCGTTACCCGTTGGTGCAGTTATGGTTTGAGAAAAAAAATACCCGTTGAATAATGGGGCGGTTATGGGGCGGGGGAATTACCCAACGGGGCGGAACGGTTATATGTAAAACCGTCCCCGGTCTGCCCCGTTGTCATCCCTAGTTTTCTCCTTTTAAAAAATATAAGCAGAAACAAATCAATTTCAAACACCGTATTGTTTGGATTAATCCCTACACGTACAACTTTTGTTAAGCACTCTTGGATGTTTTAATTGAATTTATTTCAGTCTTAGACTAGACCAAACTAGACTTCTGCATCTTAAAGTACATAAAATCAGACATCTATCAGACCAGACCAGACCAAAGTAGACTTAAACATATCAGATCAAATTAAACTAGAAAATTTTAATCTAAGTAAAAACATTCTAAAAATATGGTGCATCAATTGTTATTATTATTGTTTTAGAAGTGTTCTCACTTCGAATGTAATAATATTTTTTAGATGCTCCAATAAGAACAGCGAATGCGCAATTTGTAAATGTATTAAAATGTCGTATTATAATTTTAAGATGTCTTATTTAAGATTAGTGTTGATTGTCATAATAAACTAATATTAATATTTTTGTATCACATTTATTTCTATTATTAATTTGAAACCATAGAAATTAAAGATTGAGAAAAGAGTGACCACAGTTAGAGAATAAAATGCTTGAAAATGAAAAGTTGAAAAATGTTTAATGATTGTTTGATACGAAAGTAACTAAAGTAGGAAATTAAGACCCCGTTTGTTAACATCAAAATAAGCTTTTTTGGTTCTGCTGAAATTTATGAAGTTAAGGCTGAAGTTGCTGTATTGGCTGATTCTGCTGATTTAAGAAAAAATTATTTTTAAAATATATTTTAGTAATAAAATAAAGAAAAAATTATATGTAAAATAGCTAAAATGACCATCTACAGTAACTTCAGCCAATACAGTCAGAAAAGTAACTTCAACCTTACTTTTTCTGTTTATTACACAATTTTGCGCGCGAAAACAAAAATTACGTATTCGATAAAAAATGTTTGTTGATAAGCCGAAAACAGAAAATAGATAAACCTTACTTTTCTTTAGAAAATAGATAAACCGAAATGGTAATCATAGCTAATGAATAAAATGCTTGAAAATGTTGATGGGGGCCATAAAAAAGTAAAAGGTAAAAGGTGAAAGCCAAAAATAGGGGTTTTGCCATGCGCAATAGTGGGAGACACCATGAACCGCAAATAATCACGGTGACAAGGAGAAAAAGGTATCATTTGGCCATTTGGGGCAGTGCCATAAAATGTGAATCTAAACTAAGTATTTTGTTCTCAAAATTCAAAAGAAGAAAAAGAAAATGGGACAAAGACATCGCATTACTGACGCTTGTGATGAAAGTGAAAATGGACATTTGTTTAATTTTTTTATACTAATGTTATATAGTTTCTTTTCAATATTGCATTTCACTATTATATACTCTGTACTCCATAAAAATTAGAGTATTCTATTTACTTTCACAAAGGGACTTGTTCAAGTACGTTTTTATAAATTAATAATTAATATTATCTTAAAATAAAATTTATGAACAAATTAAAAGTGACACTAAAGCTAGTATGTGTATACATTCATAGCCATTGTATAAAATTTACACAATAATAGTCGCTAAAAATTATTATTATATTATAATCGTTGTATACAAGAAGGTTACATTTGATCCAATCTATTTATCAATCATATACAAGTGAAAATATTCTAAGATGCAAACCAACATAATATTTTGACTACATTTATAGGGCCAATTATGTTTGATATGGTATTCCAATTAAGCTAATCCATACGACTATGACTCCAATACAAGTACAAACCATCATACGAGACCATGTGTTACTCTTTTTATACATGAAGTTAGCTTTAAAGTCTTAATAGTCACGACACCTCATCTATACCAACTACAAAAATAAAATAACATTGTTTTAATAATTAATAATAGGAAGTGAAAAAGTAGAAGAATTGTCATACCTGGTGCAATGTAACCATAAGATCCTGCGATGATCGACATGGACTCATTATCTTGATACAGTTTTGCAACTCCAAAATCAGCTACCTTAGCTTCATAGTCAGAATCCAAAAGAATGTTATTAGGTTTTAAATCTCTATGAATTATAACAGGATCACAATCATGATGAAGATAAGAGATTCCTTGAGCAATCCCTAATGCAATCTTGTATCTAGTCCTCCAATTTCCAGCCATATCAGTCACGTTTTTGCTTTTGCAATGCAAAAAATCTTCAAGGTTCCCATTTGGCATGTACTCGTAAAGCAACATTGCACTCTCTTTGTTACTACAACATCCTAATAATCTCACAATGTTTTTGTGCCTTATTTGGCCCAAAACCTCGACTTCCGAAAGCACTCCTCGTATTCTACGAGTGGTGTCCTTTCGAAGATCATGTAACTTTTTAACGGCTATGGTCTCGTCACCTGGCATTTCGACCTTGTATACAATTCCGCTAGACCCTGCCCCGAGGACCTTATTGCTCATTCCCACACACTCTAACACGTCTTCTGCTGTGAAATTCAGCCGTCGATAAGCTACTAGCTCCCACGTCTCGGGTTTTCGGTCACCCGGGAATCTAAACCTATAGTTCACTTGCAAACACCGGCAAACAGCTATGAGCACTAGCATCAAAACCCCAATTGCTGCCGTGAGGATCCAAAATGTCATGCGTACAGATTTTTTCGGGGATTGTTCAATCTCCACGCTGGTGGCGGGCTCTTCCTGGCATGCCTTGTGGATTCCGGTGCCGCAAAGACCATCATTTCCGGCAAAGGACGAGGAGTGAAGACTCGAGAATACTTGACCCGACGGTAACGGGCCGGTGAGGTTATTGTATGATACATTGAAGCTCTCGAGGGTACGAATATTGCCGAAATTCGAGGGAATGTTCCCGGTGAGAAGATTGTGAGAGAGGTCGACGACGGTGATCGCCGGAAGAGATGAGATCTCCCACGGGATGGCCCCGGTGAGTGAATTTCGGCGAACGTTCAAAGATATGAGCTTTTCGCAAAGCTGAACATCCGAGGGGATATCTCCCGTCAGATTGTTCCCTTCGAGCTCAATCTTGTACACGCTCCCGCATCCTTTGAAATCCGGGATTTTCCCGCCAATAGAGCTATAACTGGCGGAAAATATCTTTAAATTATGGGCTCTCCAAATGTTTTCCGGCAACTCGACATTGAACTGGTTTTCCGATATGTTTAGGAATCCTAAGCTCACCGCATTGCCAAAATCTTCCGGGAGTGCCCCGGAGAAGTTGTTTCCGCTCAAATCCATGAAGGTCAAGTTTGGCAAGAGCCCAAATCCGCTCGGAATCGATCCATTCAGTTTGTTCCCCTGAACTCTCAGTCTGGTTAAGGAGCTGCAATTCGCCAGAGATGGCGGAAGCTCGCCGTAGAACAGATTAGAGAACATGATTAGCTTCTCCAACTTCCCTCCAGCGCAGAGGTTCGGGGGGATCGGGCCGGAAAGGGAATTGGAAGAGACATCCACCTTCACTAACCCGGAATTTGATCCCAACTCCTGCGGCAAAATCCCTGTCAGTGAGTTATTCCACAAAGATAGCCTTTCAAGATTGGGAATCCGGCCAATCCCTTCCGGGATCTCGCCGGTCAAGTTGTTTCCCATCAGGGATAGTATTGAAAGCTTGTTTAGCGATGATAGTGTCGCCGGAATATTCCCTGAGAAATGGTTGTCGGAAAGGTCCAGCTCTTCTAGCAAGGCTAATCGGGAAAGCTCCTCTGGAATTTCCCCTGCTAAACGGTTCTTAAAAACATATAAAGTTTGTAGCTTTGTTAAGTTTGAAATTCCGGGCGAAAGGTGGCCAGAGAAATTACCTTGCGAGAGATCAAGAAATGTTAAATTCGATAAAGAGAAAAGGTCTGCTGGAATTTCTCCGACGTACTCATTGTACCCAAGTTGAAGATTCTCTAAATTTTTCAACAAACCCAATTCCGGCGGGATTGGACCTGTGAGTAAATTCCCGGCCAAGTACAGAAACTTGAGGTTGGGGAAGCTCCCATAGCTGGCCGGAATTTCGCCGGAGAAGTAACTCCCGCCAAGGTTGAGATATTCGAGATTTCGGAGCTGCGCGATTTCTCCTGGCAAAGGGCCGGAAAAGTTGTTGCTGAATGCGTTGAGGACGGTGAGGGTTTTCAGCCGTGAAATGGGCGGCGGTATTGCCGGACCGAAAGAATTGTTACTAATGTCCAAAGTCTTCAGAAACGGAAATTCAAGAATCGCCGGAGGCAAGGGGCAATCAAAAAGATTCCCGCTCAGGTTGAGGTGCCGGAGCTGGAGGAGGAACCGGATATCGCCCGGAATGGTGCCGGAGAGATTTTTCCGGGAGAGATTAAGAGTTGTGACGTCGCCGGAGCTGTGGTTGCACTTCACACCAGACCAGGAGCAGTAAACATGTTTGGAGTTGTTGTTAGTTGTGACATTCCAATCTTGGAAGGTGTTGAGAGGGTCTTTGAGAGAGGTTTTCAATGAGAGAAGTGATTTGAGTTGAAGAGAAAGGCTTGAATTTGAGGTAGAAGCAATGGAGAGCACTGGTGAAATTCTTGTGAGAAAGATGAATGCAACAAAAAAATTTGAGAAGAGAAAGATGAAAGGAGAGGAAGGAAGTTTTTTCATTGTATGGGTATGGAGGTGAAGAACATGAAAGATTGCCAAAGGGGAAGTGAGAAGAGGGTGACATTTAAAGGATTAAAATTTCGAATTGGTAGGATAACTTTTTTGGAGTGATTTAAGGATGATGATTACTATGTTTGAGTGGAGAAAATAAATGTTCCACACCAAGGATGACTTGGTAAAATGATTTACAGAGTATAACTTATATACTCATAATACATAGTAAAATTTTGAAAATAAGTACTCATACTACATAGTATAACTTGATTCACTTTGGTTTAATACGATTATCAATAAAGTATCTGAAAAAAGTAAAATTATGGTTGAGATTGAAGTATAATAAAATAAATGTTGTAGACCACATATTTTCATCCAAAGACAAAAATATAACACTTATCTTAAGAAAACACAAAAAAATAGTAACACAAATAAAATAGTACATATAAACTATTACCTTCAACCATCGATACAAATTAGATATCAAGACGGATAAGAGGTCTGTATTAATAAGTAAAAATTGTGGTTTTGGTTTATTAATGCATATATTGAACCAGAAAATATCAATACGGATGAGAAAAGAGGCCCCTTTGACAACTTTCTTCCCCGGTTCATATTGCTTTTGGATGTTATGTTTTTTGAAGAACCATCATAATTGGTTTAAAATTTTGATTGGATTTTTTTAATATGTTATGACTTATAATGATCTGGTTTAATAAATGCTTCTTTTATGTATATTATATTATTGTCAAAATCTAACTTGTATTGGTCTGGTATGAGAATAAATCAGACCAATTAATAGCATTCTTATTTAAGATAATTAATAAAATCAAATTCCTAAAAAAGAATAGTTAAATAAATGAATTTGTAATCGATAGTATATATAGCTATAAACTACTCTGTAATACATTGGGCAAAGTATCGTATTTTAGTCCGTTTAAAGCATTTTCTGTCTCGTTGGAAAGATTTTATCGAGTTCTAAAGACGCCCGAGCAAATCAGCATGCCAATTCTTACCGAGTCACTGCTGCAGTTATGGCATGATGTGTGGATGTCACGGTGGAGCCCAACTTGGACCTGTTTCACCGGCTCATGTCTCATTCGAAGAAAACCTATTATTTTAACTCCGGTCTTATTTCAGGAAATTTCCTTAGCTACTAAGGAATAATACATATGTTGATATGCATTATTATGCATATGCTAAGAGTCTATGAGATCTAGAAACTTTGTGGTGTCTTAGACTCCGCCCTCCTAGCTCCAACATTGACGAAGACTACACTTCCAAGTTCCAAGCTCAAATAGGTAAAATAGCATGCATCGAAAGCTAGCTATTTGTTCTTGGTTAAAACTCCAAGAATGTATATACTTTAGTTTGCCAGTACTTCCCCACTATGATGAGAAACCTTAAACTTTGTCTGCTAAATTCCAATATTTTAGTTTTGTTGAATTTCTTTTTCCAATTCCTCCCACACTTTTCATCATTCCTTGACCTTTTTTTCTTTCCTCTCCACCCAACAAACATTTGTACCCTTTGTCAGAATAGTGGGAATGTCTTTCCCAGGATCCGAGACACCCTGGTTTTAAAAATGTGTCCACTTTTCAAATAATTTCTACTCCATCCCCCCAAATCTGTTACTCTATTTGAACTAGGTCAATTCTTTAGTTACTTTGGTATAACATCAATCAATGCAAAGGCTCACTATTGCTAAACCTAATTAAATCAAAGAATCCGTTTTATTTTGGGTTGATCACCTAGGTGTTTTTGCGTGTACACTAAGGAACTCCTACTTCTCCCCCGTAATAATCGAAGTAATCTCATATGTTATCACTTGATTTTTTTATCATCAAAACCAACAACTCCACTAATAAAGTAAATTGTTCATCAAATGACATACAATAGAGTGAGGAACATTATCGTAGATAAGCCTCTGATCTGAGATCATAATGTGTGTTCTTTCCAACTCATGAACCACTCGATTCGGCGGATTCGCATACCGTTTACAAAAAGGGACAACAAAATTACTTTTAATTTTCTAACATATTCTTAATATCTTCAATAATCAAATGTAAGTAAGCTGAACCCCTCCCCTTCTTGATCCCCTGAGAACTGTTAGAGCATCTGTCTCAATCACTACCCTTTCCCAGCGTTCTTCCACCGCGCCAAGAATCGCATCTCGAATACCCACGGCTTCCGTCTCTGCTGCCGACCAGGTGGCCGCCGCTGATGCTCCTTTTGCAGTTAACAAAAACACCATCTGCGTCTTTAGCAACCCATCCCCAGGCTCGAATACCTCCTGCTTCGTTCACTGCTTCGTCCACATTTACCTTAATATATCCACTATCTGGCTTGACCCATTTGACTCCCTCGGCCTTGGCCTGAACAGCCACTTTCAGAACCCCTTGTTGAGCATTCTTCCAACGGAGGAAGCGGTCCAACACAACTGGTTGCCGACTCACTCTCCCTTAGGGGAGGTCTCGCGAAACTCAATGGAGTGAGTTTCAACCTGATTACTCCAGGTCCCCTCAGCCCCCCTCCCCAAGACGCCCCTATAGTTAAAAAAGAAGCATCATTCCAACATGTAATCATGTTTGCTTCCCCGTTCACAACACTAGCCAAAGAATCTTTCTGATCTTTCCAGACCGCATTATTCATTCGTTTCCAAATACTTCATAACAACGATACAAACCTCCCTCTATCCTCCTTGCTACCCGACGTAAGTCTTCCCCGAAGCCAATCCCCTACCGGCCGATCCAACTCGACGTACATGCCTTCCTTCTCCCACACCTGCCGGACCCAAGGACAGAGCCGCAGTGCATGGTCTAAGGGTTCGGCCTCATCACCACACAGTTTACACCCATTCTGAATATCTACCCCCTTCCTTCTCAAATTATCCACCGTGGGAAGAGAACCATCTAACATCTGTCATGCTAAATACTCCGTATTTAAATTTTGGCGGAACCTCAACTCCAATTTCCACAAGGATTTAGTATGATTTGGGATACTAATATTAAATATCTAATATGCTTTGATATGATATAGTTTTGTATTATGTGTATTAGACTATATTAACTAAATTTAATTTTATCTAGTCTCAGATTTAAACCAGACCAAGTGCAGTGGCCGGAAACGTTCATGGTGATATGTGTGTATACATGTATATATAGCATGAAAATAGTAGACAAAATGATCCTTAGTGGATGACCTTTTTTGTTTAAACAAAGTTTAAACAAAGTATATCATTAGAAATGTCAGTATTTAATATCGATATTCGTAGTATGGTATACGGCAATTTCAACATTAGTATAGGAAACAAATACTCCTTTATTGAATAATTTAAAAAGTGAATATCAAACATTAGATCGAGTTTATTAATGGAAATTTTAATAATTAATAAATTTCACTTTGAAAATTGATCAAATAACATCTTAATTACAAGTGTATTGATATCATAATAGATTATAATCATTATCTCACTGTGCGATGCACAACTCAAAATCTAGTTTGAGAACAAAACAATGAAGATCGTGTCTGGACAACAGAGTTACTGTTGTTATCCAAATGATAATGTTATGTACGTAGTCAATAGTGGTACATCCATCCTACTAACATCTTGAGATGATGAAATGCCACGATTATTAAAAAAGTGAGTTAATGTGATTAATATTGAATTGATAAAGTAAGAATAAACTAAAATTATTTAGAGACACAAATTTGATCAAATTCAGTATGGAACAATTTTAGTGAGAATTCTCGAAAAGAAAAAATGAACAATTTTAACCCTGGGGAAGTATCAGTTATCTTGTAATTTTGATTTACCTTTCTAGAGATGATTAAATTACTTAAAGTGATTTTTTATAGGTGAACAAAATGCAGCTTTATTATTTTTTAACCAAAGGTCCATTTCACTATTTTCCACGCGTTTTGTTTTTGTTCCACCTCCAAAAGTGCAAATATTATTAAAATACGGCACAACCATATATGCAGAAAAAACTAAAAAAGGGCAACAATGCCATGCTCCGCCGGTCTTATCCACATTTTTATGGCATGGTCGCTCAAAAGCTTATTATTAATCGACAGTACTAATAAAAAAGAAAATAGCCATTTTTACTAATTACTTCGTACTACTTACAAGTAATTAGCCAATTATGTCCAAAAAATAGTCTCCGTTTTTATGGTTTTTATGAAGAAAACAATAATGGTAATATAGAGAAAGTAGTACACTAGTACTAGTATGTAAAAAGTAAAAAGAGGTAAAGATAATAAAAGTGAGTGTATAAGGATAATTGATTGAAAAAAATTACTGAAAATGGAAAGGAAATAAATAATTAAAAGCATCCAAAATGTGATACGAGACACTAATAGAGAACCAACGGAGTATGGAGTATTAAGCTTAGTATTCTGGCACTCCATTATAGTTTGTAAGAACTCATGATAAAAATATCTAGTGGACAATTGTCATCTTATTTTCTCATCAAGCCAATTACCCAAGAATCAGGGGTGGAGACCGGGGCTAGAGAAGGCCTCGGCCCCCCAACACAAATTCTTTAAGCGTTGGTCCAATAACTTGTCGTTTCTGGCTCCGCTATTGCCAAGAATGAGACAAACATTAGCATATCTTCTTTCAAGGATTGCATAGAAATACAAGTTTTCTTTAAGTCAACCCCATCAATGCTAGTGTGTTACCATTTACCAAGATTAATACAATAAGAAAAGAATACCCAAAACAAACCCTAATTCATACCTAGAGAAGGAGACACCATCATACAAGGACAGAACTAGACTAGCTAGGATAATGGTGAGCGTGTTGTTTTTTTCCATAAAATTGTATATAAACATTTTCACTTGTTCAATTTAACCCACCCATTATTATTTAAAATTAGTGTAATTACTATTGAGCTTAATCTGATCACGACTCTATCGCCCGTGCCGTCATGTATATATCATTACCGGACATCGACCACTGAATTTTATAGAAGACGACATAACAAAGCTGAGTGAAAACTTAAGTATCCTCACTGGCTACGGGTTGATTTGGACGACCATAAAAATAATAAATTTATAAACTCAAGTATCTGTATCTCATTCTAAATTTAATCGGTGTTCCGTGTTGATCAAGTTAAAGAAAATAGTCAAAGTTGTTTTCAGATGAACCCTAACATCAGACATTTTGGGAATTTTAATCAGCAAGTACGGAGCAATATGAGCTAATCAATGGACGAATTGACTACATAATTTTCTTTTTGATTAAAAATGAACAAAAAATGTAAGATGATGGAGGTAACAAAAAAAACAACGAGCTTTCTACATTTCTTTCTTATTTGACATAATTTTAAAGTTTTAAAACCCGTTTAGTAACAATTATGGAGTAACATTTAACTTGGCTGAATCGAGTGATTTCGCTGAAACCTATGAAGTTCTAACTGAAGTGACTAGTATAATTGATTTTGCTAATTCATATGAAAAAATAGCTAGAAGTAAATTCAAATTACTTTTGCTAAGTCAAATTCACACAATTCTAACGCACAAAAAAAAACAAATTACGTGTTTGGTGGAAAACCTAGCCGACAAACCAATTTAAAGGTTTACAACTCAAAAATACAATTTAGGCCATATAATATCAAATGTATGCTTAATAAACCACGCATAATATATTTCATAATGACAAATTTTATTTATATACAAGTATTACTCTTCATTCGGACGACCATAAACCTTTCATAGATCAAAAGTGGACTTCATTAGATTTGCTAGATGTCAAACTTACACCAAAATCCTGAAAGAATAAATGATTATATTTTAAACTTTTAAAACTAAGAAAGTAGGAGTTCTTGACTCGGTCTTCAATTTAGCTTACACGTAGATAGTGATGGACCCGGTTCAGGCCACCCGGCCGGGGAACCGGCCCAGCCCGCTACTGTGCGGGCCCAGCCTGGCCCGATGCTCCGGGCCCCAAACCGGTCTTTTGACCCGGACCGTAGGGTTTAGCGGGGCGGGGTCGGGCTGAAGAAAAGGTGACACGTCCCGGCTGATCTCGGGCCCGGTTCAAGCCAAAATATATTTTTTTGTTTTTTCACTTTTTTTTGGTTCCCCCGGGTTGGGCTAGGTGTTTTGGGGGCGGGGTTGGGGGGGTGAAGTATGGTCAGGGGGTAGTTAAGAAAGCAAAAAATACATATATAACCAGGCCCGAGGCCCAGCCCAACCCGAACCGGACTTGGACCCGGTGGATACCCGGGCCGGTTCCGGGCCTACGCCTTAAACTCCAAAAGCCCGCCAGGCATAGGCCCAACCCGGGCCCAACCCAGCCCGGGTCCATCAGTACACGTAGAGTATCTCTACTTTTTGGCTTTGGCAAGGGGTTGACCGTGTACGGTGGACATAGTGAGTTTCTTGTAATCTTAAATCTTGTCTAGATCCAAAGAAAGCCTGACGCCTAATTCCGATCACTTACACAGTTACACAGTTACACGTTAGGATTGTCAACTTCAATTCTAAAGAAAAGTTCCGAAATGGAAGCAAAAACACTTTAAAATTTCAAAATAGAACTATCTTAATATGGATAAAATCATATTTAAAATCTATTAAAACCAAAACATGACAAACAAATTTTGAAATCCACACATTTTGACTCATGTTTAGGGCTTTTTGTGCCAATGTCTATGTAGTAGACACACTGATAAAAGAAAACGTTTCAAGCTTTTATTGACGGAACACAATGTTTCAAGTTTTGACCTCACATTTTTGGCTGGACTCGGGCCGGTTCGGGCCTGGGCCCGGCCGGGCCTCGGGCCAGAAAATTGGGGGCCGAGCCCAAACCGCCGGTGGCCGGTTCCGGGCCAAACCGGTCCTTTTTTTTTTGGGTTCTCCTATTTAACCCCCTACCCCTCCCCCTCAACCCCAAACCACCCAAAATACCTAATCCAACCCAAAACTTAAAAAAATTTCAAAAAAAAAATTAAAAAAATAAAATCTGGCCCGGACCGGGCCCGAACCGGCCGGGCCGGTTCGCCTAAAGCAGGGCCCGAGCCCGGACCACCCATCACCCGGGCCGGGCCAAACCGAACCGCTGGACCCACCGGGCCCCGGGCCGGGCCAAACAGTAACCAGGCCGGTTCCAGGTTGGGCCGCCCGGCCCGAGTCCACCCCTACTCACATTAGGATATTTGACACAAATTTGGAAGGCTAGACTATTTTTAAACCTCTTCCTTCTCTTTTTTGTTTGTTTCTTTGACCTTGTTGAGAAGGCAAAATAGAGAGAATTGAATTTAGAGGACTCAGAGCACCCCGCTGGCCCGCCACCCCTAATTTTATCATTTTTCCCCTTGTCACTAATTTCTCTTTAGTCTATGTTTATTCCCTTAACTAATCAAAGCTAACAAATGTTCTAATGTCTATTGTCTACATTCAAATTTAAAAAACGACCACATATTTAACCAATTCATATCCAGTCTCAGGTCTCAACTTGGCCAGAATAGGGACATGAAAATAAGATAACATCATAAGTTCATAACAGAATAACAATGATGAAATGGGAAGAAAATCTTTCCACCATCAACCGGTGCAAAGTATTCCATTGTGAACAGTCAATCAAATGTTCCACACATAGAGGCACCCAAGATCACCTGCAGGATACATTCCTATATATCATCAACTTCAAAAGACTGCCTTGTGTATTTACAAGAAAACAAAAATGGTACTATATGTGAACAAGCCACTACTCACCTCCTGCACAACATGATTCATGGAGTTTCATGACATGGTTAACATGTATATCAATGCCTCGGAGGCTCGGACCACCATTGAAACAAATTATTAGATTCATGTTCTTTATACCAAAACACACATCCCCCCATAACGTGTCCTTAATTATTGCTAGGGACCCAAAATCTAACAACAATAACCCGCTCACTAAATCAAGATAACTCTATACTAGAAGAGTCCATCAAGTCGGGCAAAAAGAAGTACAGATAATTTCAAGATCACATAATAACTAATGAGCAACCAGACCCGTAGACAACTGATGACATTAAGGATGCCTTTGGTGCTTTCAATAGGAATTACTTTCACTCTCAGTAGTAGAATCTACCCCCCCCCCCCCCAATCCCCCATGAAAACCAATTTTGTACTCCAAGAGCAAAATAATCCCTTTACATTAGCTAACTACTCACTTTCCATGGTCAAATGAGATATAAAAAAAAAACAATTAATTTCCTTTGCAATTACTTACCCTCATCCCAACTCTCCCCTTACAGTCACGGTGGCATAAATTATTTTAAGTAGATTCATGTCTTACATTAGTTATACTATATGCATCCTTTTGCTGCTACTAGCTGTATGGTATAAAACAGTATAATAAATAAAGAAGCTAATATATTACAAAAGACATGAATCTAGTATACTTATCATATTTAGATACCCCCAAGAACTTCACATATCAAGATTTTATCATCTTGTATGAAAGACATGTAGGTTGACGCAAGAACCGTGCTTCTTTCCGAATTTCACACTTCTATATGCAACAAACTGACAAAGGCAGGTGAGTTAGAAAAGTAAAATTGAAATAGAAAGCAAAATTGTCAGGGACAAACAAAACAGTCAAAATGTCAGTTAATTTAGTAACACAACAAACATCAACCACAGATTACTGAACGGAAGAAATAAGATGACGTGAAGCAAAAAACAACACAACCAAACACAAAACCAAACAGAAGTAGCAACCAATATTATAATGAAATCCCCCAAAATGGAATCGACAAATCGTCAATGAGAATCGGAAAGGAGAGAACACTTCAGCTCATCTCTCTGCAAATGTCATAACAGTACACAGCAAGGTTAAAGATGTGAGTCCGAAACTTCCAACAAGAAAATTGATGGCAAGAGGTAAGAAATGGTGAGAATTGTGCTCCAAGAAATCATCCTGTAAAATATTACAACATTACAAAGACGAACACGTGTTAAAAACAAAAAATCTATTCCAAAATGAGTGAACTACAAATATTATTTACCAAAAAAATGATTCAACTCATCTCATGATACTTACCATGCATGTAAAAATATCTATTCCAAAATGAGTGAACTACAAATATTATTTACCAAAAAAATGATTCAACTCATCTCACGATACTTAACATGCATGTAAAAATATCTATGATGATGATGATGTTTTTAGAATCAGATTCTCTTTATTACTTCTTATAAAGGTTGTGTGAGGAAGGGGATCAGGAGTAACGCATTGCCCCATGCTTTTTTGCATGAACTTATAGTATTAAGTAACTTTATACTATTAATGAATTGACACTAAATTTAATGTCTCCTGCACCAAGTGGTTCATAATACGGTTCTGATATTGATTATATATAATGTTATTCATAAAGGGTTTGACTGTCTTTACAATCCAGTGTATATCTTTATCACTTTGCCCTTTAGCATGAATTCACAATGATGAATAATTCCAGAAAATCCCTTGACGCTGCATTTCAAGCTACTAGCCAAATGTAGTTTGGATTAGGAGACTGATGATTATAAAAAGAGAAAGAAACAAAAATAAATGTTGGGGACTAAAATTAGACAAAAAGCATAAACTTATGTATGCAAGTGTGATCAAATCAAAAGAGTAAGACTAAATGTAACATGGTTAAAAATAATTGTTTGTCTGTGATATACACAGAAGGCTCTTCATGACATGGTAATTCTCCAAAATTTGGCCTCAATGCATATAGGCTTTACATACACACAAAGTTTAAAAATCTTTACACCTTGCTCCAAACCGACAATAGTTAAACAGTTAAATGTAGAAAACAGAATACTAATTTACCTTACAATGGTAGCCATACACCTTATTTCATCTCTGTCATAAATTTTTCATATTCTGCATCTGCACCATATGAAGACTTGTCTGAAGTTGGCATGGGAGCGGGTGCTGGAGGGTTTGGGGCCCAAGGAGCGGGAGCGGATGGGGGCGGGGGCGGGGGAGCAACATTATAGTAAGGCGGATAGCTGTATAAAGGCAACGGAGGGGCATATGTGGCCGCAGGCTGAGCTGGAGCTGGTGCACTAGCCTGAGACTGAACCCCAGGGGGGTAACTACTGCTGTAACTTTGTTGTGCTTCGCTAGAAGGGACAGTTTGGGTAGAGGCACCTGAAGTAGTTGTACTAGTAGGCAATGGAGGATGAAACTGCATCATTCCATAAGGAGGTGGCGGAACTGGAGCATAAACGGATGAACCAGGAGGCAGAGGAGGAAACTGGTAGTGGGGATAAGGAGGAGGAGGTGGTCCCCACGGAACTGCAGGACTCCCCATAGGTCCACCTGTGGCATACTGCTGTGAAGGGTAGGCACCCACAGGTTGATTGGTGGGAGGGTACGTAGGCATTGGCGGGGCAGGGGGGCCAGGAGGCAATGTAGGCTGAGGTGGCTTACCGGCAACCCTAACAGCAATCGTTCTACCATCAAGATGGTGACCATTCATACTAGCAATAGCATTATTAGCCTGCTGAACATCTTCATACTTCACAAAACCATAACCCTTAGACTGGCCAGTAACACGGTCCTTAATTACCTTGGCCATTACAATAGTGCCAAAAGGAGAGAACATGTTGATCAAAACATCATCGTCCAGGGTAGGTGGCAGGTACCCAATATACAAATTTGTCTCATCATATTCCTTAGGTTTGATCACAGTTGACCCTAAACCTGGATGTGACGAGCTGACCACCCCACTACCAATGCTGCTACTGGTGGAAGCCCAAGGAGGATTCGTACCTGAACCTACACCATTGCCAAGAGCAAGTGTCCCAGAAATTTGCTTAGTTGATGACTCGGGCATTGTCCCACCCAACTCTGCCAGAAAGTTTTGATACTCATCATCCATTTTCTTGCCTGTTGTATTTTTCATAGGACAATCTATAGTGGGATGGCCCCCATCACCACACTTACTACACAACACGTCACTCTTAAAGGTGGAAGTACGGGAAGGACAAGCATATTGTCTATGGCCAGGTTCACCGCATAATCTACAAAATTCTTCATCCCTAATAGTTCCATTCAATGCAGCAAGTTCCCTTAGTTGTTGCCTCTTGTGCTCATTAAGGACTTCGTCAACGGGCTGCAAGAGCTTTTCGACCATGTCCGCAGCAGCCTCCAGTGATTCTTGGGTATCAGCTTCCACCAATACATGTAAATCCTCATTCTCAGAAGGGTCGGGCTTCATGTCTCTTTTTTGCTGCAATCGGCCTTCTTTCATTGAACCTTTTCCACGGATCACGATTTTGGCTCCTGTCTCCTTTTCCATCCTTTTTTGAGTATTCCCTCTTGGTCCAATGATAAGACCGATGAAGTTATAACCAGGGTATTCCTTGACAGGTATGTAAAGCTTCTTATGGAGTTTAGGAGGTCTGTAATCAGCAGGAGGCTTAAAGGCTGGATTTTTCTTTATCATCTGTGAAATAATCTCTTGTCTTTCCCTGTTCAATTTCTCTCTTGCACGGTATTCCCTAGTGTTTATTCTAATTCCCATGTTATCATAGATTGGTTCAGGGGAGGGTGAGCGTGCGCCATCTGGCCTATCGTCTAGAGGCAATCCTGATTGCAATTTTCTAGTAATCTCAACTAACCTGCTATTCAAAACCTGAATTTCCGGGTCGAATTCAATACCTCCGGCGAAATCCTTCATAAAATCCGGCAGCTGAATCAGTGGCTTGGGCTCGTCATCCGCCCAGCGTGACTTTCGTTTTCGTCCAGTTCCAGTCCCCGTCCCACTCCCATCACCCCCAGTAGCCGTGCCATCGTTGCTAGACTCGCCAGGCGGGGGATCCCACCTACTCCTTCGCCGCCTCCTGCTTGTAGTCTCCTCTTCCCCGCCAGACTGGTCCTTATCAGTGCCACTGTGAGTATTAGTCACCCCGTTCTCGGACAGAAAGTGTTTCTGCACCACGAGCTTCTGAGCGCTATCCTCCGGCGGTTTCTGCTCGGAGACCTGCTGAGTGTCCTGGTTATCCGAATCTAGGGGTTTTCCAGGCATATTTTGATCCTGAGGACATTCGGTGATGGGGGTCGGCTGGGACTGGTCTAGGGTTTGAGAGGAGATCTGAGCGTACGATTCAGGATAGCTCTGGGGTGAATGTTGGGGAAGAGATTCAGGTGGAGGCCCCGCCTCAGATTGATAATCTGGGTAAGTCGCCTGAAGCGTGTCCATTAGAGCAGAGCGAAGCTATTAGTGATTTCGATGGAGAAGAGAGGCGCGGGTCGAAGGCAATGGGACTTCTTATGCTGGCGGTTTCGGGTTATTCCCTTTTATCTATTGAAAATTGCAATTGAATATACTCCGTACAAACTACAAATGCATACTTTACATCTCCTAATTGAAGTTGAACATTGGATTAATTGAAGTTGAACATTGGATTAATTAGGAAGTTCTCACGTTCAACTCCAAGCAATAATTAGGATGGAACCGGTCCATAGTCTCTTTTATCATAGTATGATCAAAATTCAATATACATCCTCCTAGACAGTTGTCGAGTCAGTTTTAAAGGATGGAGTGTCATCCTTTTTTGAAAATAAAGTAAAAAATTATTTGAATGTGAAATTATTGTTTGAGTAATTCGAATACGGTCTTTATATAGAAAATGTTGGGGAAATTTTCAATTATAGTCCTGTAATTTAGATTGTTATTGTAATTGATCATGTAACTTTACTCACTTGCGAATTAGGTCATGTATCCAATGTTCTAAAAGGCGTAAGGCGTGCCGAGGTGGCACGCCCAAGCCTTAAGCCTTTGGAGCCTAGGCGGGTTTAGGCGGGGATTAGGCGTGAAAAGGCGTTTTAGTTTTCTATCATTTATTTTAGTTTTTCTAGAGCTATTTTAAGTATTTTAATTTTATATTACATAATGTTATTAAAAAATATCATACATTTCTCATTTTCAACAAAAAAAGATTTGTTGAGTACTAAATCTAACAAAATTTACCAATCATTGAAAAACTAGAACCGAAAAAGTAATTGAATTGATGATAAAATATTGATTTTAACAACATAAATAATGCGAATATATTACCAAAATAAGGACAGTGGATAAAAATGTTACTTAATAACGTTTAGTGATATGATTACATTCAAACTTTTCATTGTAGAGAATAAAGAATATATTAATTATCACGTTATTCATATTTTTTGTCCATACATTTTATTAACATAACTTCTTCGAAACAGATCTATTAGAAATGACAATGTTGATAATGATAACATTAAAATGATAACATTAAAATACAACAACATCAATAACAATAATAACAAGAATTCCAGCAATAATAGTACTTTTTTCTTTTGACCAACACAATACTACTACTACTAATAATAATGATATTAATAATAACAGTAATAGTAATTATTATAATAATAATAATAATAATAATAATAGAATGTAGGATATACTTGGACCCGTTTAGCATATTGCGTATAATTTATAATACTACTTACTACTAAAAGTTCATGTATTGATAAAAAGATTTGGAGAGTAGGTTTCATCTCTCACCATTACACCTGGGTTAAAATCCATCCTGATGCTTCATTTTCAGTTTTAAACGAAACGTTGAGTACTATCTATTCTTTTTCAACTTTACCATTCAAGTATCCCACACCGGTAGGATAGATGCATTTCACTTCTCAAATTCTATATATTAATCATCTTCCTTCGCTCAAGGCATATAAGATCTTGAGTTGTACGTGGGCCTAATACTAGAGGCTGGAGTTATATTTATCCGCCTTACTCCGCGCCTTGTGGGTAGGTGGGGCGTTTGTATGGCGCCTCAGGCCTAGGCCCGCCTAGGCGGAGCCTTTTGAAGCCTTTTAGAACACTGCATGTATCAAATACATCTTTGCAATTTAAGAACTTCTCCACCAGAAGTTACACATTCCGGCTAAAAAATCTGACACCAACGGCATCTCTTCCGGTTTACTTTCGCCGAAAAGTGTACTTTTCAAGGGGGTTTTTTCTTTTTTCTTTTATCATCAAAGCAAGCCGTTTATACTAATATCAAAAACTATTAGAAATCAGATCGTTATAACAAACTCAAAAGGACCAACTCTAACAATAACTATCTCTAACCAACTAGCACTATCAACCATACGGCTAGACTCAGAGACGATCACCCGTGAAACAACAATATGAATCGCTAACCACCAAGTGGGTGTGACACAACAATCACTAGTCATATTTTTTTTTGCAATCATTAGTCATATAGATCCTTCTAACGACATAATATCTAGCAGAATTGTCAATCATAATTATAGATCTAAAACTAAGGACATCGACAAAAAACAGAGCAACATAAAACATAATGCGAAAATAAAACCATAAAAAATTAAATAACTCATAAATCTTCTGAACCCTAGCACCTCGATCGCTTCAAGGCGGCGGTTTAGGAGGGGGCGGCCGCAGATCTATCTTCTTCCTTGCTCAGTCATTCACCTCTCCACGTCTTCTCGTCGCCCGTTCCGCCTCCACTACCACCACTTCCCTCTACCCATGTTGATTTGCCAAATACTAACCTTTCGACCTCTCCTCAATTGCAGGGATGGGACAACGCTGCTCTAGATCGATCTTCCATATAAGATATGATTATCGTTTCTTGAATCTTGGATTTGTTTCCAAAAGCTGCAGCAGCCGCACTCACACCTCCTTTAAGATTGTCTTGCACAAGCCGAGGAAAGAGGTCAGAAAACAAAGATGAAATCTTATCGCTACTTCGAGACCCAATGGACAATCTGAAAGTCGCCTAAATCCCAAACCAGAACTAGCAATCTAGACATAAAAAGCACTCTAGAAGCCTAAAGAAGAAGAGTCGCACAAACAATTGGCAGAAGGAAACCCTACGCGACGGCGAAGCCGCTAGGGAGACAAAACCCTACGCGATGTTAAGCCGCTAGGGAGAAGCTGCGCAACAGACGTAGGTATTAGAACGGAGTAGTCGTGTGCCAGTGGAAGTTCTTAAATCACAAAGATTTATTAGTTACAGGACCAAATTTGCAAATGACGACTAAAGTTACGGGATTAATAATGAAAATGATCGAAAGTTACGGGACGAAAATTGCAATATTGTCAAAATTGTTGTCTTTTGAGAGAAAAATCAACCATGCAATCATGGTAAGTAATGGGAAGTAAGATTACTTATCTAGTAGACACTCGTATACATAGACAAAAGTGTATATGTTACGTTCTTAATTTACCATTTTCTTGTTTAGTTCAAAAAAGATCATAAATATATATACATTCTATGAGGTATCATGAGATTAATATTTGTTTGCTCTTTAAAAAAAACTTCATGATTCATGAAAAAATAAAATCTACTAGGAATAGCCCACTTTTATGTAGTTTTTTTTAAAAAAAATTAAACTGTAGGAATTTCCAATAAAAAGAAGTTAAAAAGTGTTTGCCCACTTTTATGTAGGTTATATATTCACTTATGCTACTTTCTTAATTGCCTCTACATTGGGTCAATTTGGTTCATTTGAATGTGTTGTGTTGTATTATTATAGGAAATGAAAGCGTAAATGATAATTTTAAATTGAATTCACATCTGAAGTACAAACTTTGTAATAAATATTACTCCATCAAGATCAATGTGTGAAGGTTAATAAATAAATTATCATATTTTTACTGGTATTCGTTTTAATCTGTTCATTTTGAAAAGCGAAAATCAAAATCAAATCAAACCACTATAGGTTGGTTCGGTTTTGCATTTAGTTCCGCTATTGTGGTTTGGTTTCTTTGACTGTATCGCAGTTTATTTTTATTAAGTTACAGTTTTATCGAACACATCCCTTGTTTCAATTGAAATAGACCAACAATGAGTATTGTATGTTCCCCTGTATTAGAGGAAATGTGTAAAGAACCATGTAGTCCTATTTTGCAATTATATAGCACCAATATGGTAATATTGATGTCATAAGTGATTGCGTTTTTCTAACATGACGATAATTATTTTGATTTAAATGAGAAATACAACACTCGTACTTAGGGTAATCTTTGTATATTATTTCATGCATTTATTAAACCTACAAAGTTTGTTCATGGCCGATGTAAAATAGGTTTCATGCAAACAACTATTGTTATTACCAAAAGGATATAACAATCTATTTTCGTCGTTTTTTGCAACATATCTTCGGGAAATGTTTTTTATTTGTAACATATCTATTGTTGGTATTACTATTTCATCTATTCTCGTTCTAACACTTTTCCAGTTTTCCTGTATGATTCATTACCTATACTTTTATAATTTCATGAAAAACTTATAGTTGCAAGTAAAAAACAGGGAGAAGATGAGATTAATAAATACCTTTAGATATTCACTACATTAATTTCCTCTACTGTTAGTAGAAGTCAAGGTTGACAGCTTTGATGGTTGGTGTATCATATGATTTTCAATTTAGAGCGATGATTGTGTTCTTTTATCTTGTAATGAATGACAGTATAATATTTGAAAACAAAATATGAGATGCACAATATTTTGAAATAAATATACTACGTATTACATTAATGTGGTGGTTCTTACAAGAAAATGTCGCACATGTGATTAGAAATTACATTTTCCTAATTGGTGACAATGTTGTGTTATTTTGTTTGTTGTAATTAGGGGGTGAACGCGAGCCAAGACGCTCACGAGCCACTTGCGAATCGCTCGGTCACCGCTCGACTCGAGTTCGGTCATGTTCGAACTTGAGCCGAGCTTGAGCCAGCTTGGTAAGGTGTCGAGCCATGTTCAAGCATTATTATTCTTGGCTCGTGGCTCGCGATCCGGTTCGCGAGCCATACTTATACATATATTTATATATTTTTAATATTTTATGATTGGATTTGATTAAAAGTTTAAAGTGGGCTTATTTTCTAAACTCCCTAGCAAATGTGTAACCCTAAATCTATTCATCCGATGAAGTTTTCGTTCTTCTAATCTCTCTTCTCCCCTCGAGTCCAGACACCTCGTTACTCAACTCTCAAGTAGCGATGGCGTGATAGTCACAGTAGTAGAGGGCGTCCAAGTAGCTTGTCTATCTCCAGCTTCTCCACCATTAGAACCCGCTTCAATTAGGTATTTCCATCGTTCTCTCTTCTAGTCGGATTTATCATTAAGACAATGAAGTAGGCCTTTTTGAAAATAATAATGACACTCGTATAGCTATTTATTCTCCTTCCCGAAATTGAAGACAATGTGACCCCCATCACGCCAGTGCAGAGCCTAGGAAATGCCACCTGTAGCTCCATGAACTGGAAGAGCATTGCGATCTCTATCCTTTGCTTACAGT